CAGGGTTGGTGTATAGTACTGTGGAATATGGTGCTTCAGTGTGGCTCAACAGCCCCCATGTCCACAAACTTGATGTTCAACTTAATACAATGAGAACCATCAGCACATGTATTAAAACCCACTCAGGCCTATTGGCTACCCACCTTGTGCCACATTGCTCCCATGTATATCCAAAGACCAGATGCTCTTTTTCATGAATATAGAAAGATCACTGAAAACGGAGAGTTGCCCATCCACAAAGATATGCTCAACAGCCCCCATGTCCACAAACTTGATGTTCAACTTAATACAATGAGAACCATCAGCACATGTATTAAAACCCACTCAGGCCTATTGGCTACCCACCTTGTGCCACATTGCTCCCATGTATATCCAAAGACCAGATGCTCTTTTTCATGAATATAGAAAGATCACTGAAAATGGAGAGTTGCCCATCCACAAAGATATGGCTGATGCGGGCCTCTCCAGACTAAGATCCTGGCACCCAGCAATAAGACCTGCACAAATCCTGTGATCACAAAAATCTCTAAAGAATGAATGGTTGTGTTGCAGACATGGATGCAAACAGTTCCACCCAATAGCCATAACGATAAACACCAATGAGAGCACCTCAGGATTTGACCTGCCACGTAAAATATGGAAGACAGCTAATAGAATACGGACAGGCTTTGGCAGTTGTGCAGACCTGTTGTTTAAATGGGGCAAAATACCAGGACCCAAATGCAACTGTGGTACAGCCCACCAAACTATTTTCCATCTGTCACAGGAATGTGAACAGTTGTGCTTTGCAGGGAGATGTGACGGAGGAGCTCTTGGAACTCTCCCCAGCTGTGATTGAGTGGACTGAAAATTTAGATAATAGTATTTTGGGGGATTACCAAATCAGTATGTATACCTGTTGTATCAATTTGGTTACATATTTTATATTATTATGTGCTTCCTGTGTGCAACTCTGCCACACAACAAATATTTGTGTGCGTGCCCCCCACTTCTAAGGTGAAGTAGCAGGTTAGTAAAGAAAGGGTCTTCTTAGCTCTTCATCTGTTGAACTTTCTCCCTGTATCTTTTTACCTGCAGCCTACCCTTTTAGATGCCAAATGAAAACGTCCTTTTTCCTCATCAGAATTAGGAGCTGGGAGATCCCGGGTCAAATCCCCATTCTGCCATGGAAACTTACTGTGTGGCTTTGTGCTTAACACTCTCAGCCTAACCTACCTAGAAAGGCTGCTGTTGTAAGGATAAAGTGGAGGGTGAATGGTGTCGTAAAGTGTATTAGGTTCCTACCGGGAAGAAGAGCAGGGCATAAATATCTAAATAAATAATACGTACTTTCCCCTCATATTTTTTCTACTTTTAACATCTGCTAGATTTCTTCTGCAGTAATAACTAATGATTTAAACTGCATTTCATTTTTTAGACTTTATTGTGTCACAAGCAGGCTCAAGTACTGTGTTATGAAGTGGCATAGAAATCTTTTAAGTAAATCAACATCCACTGGCATTTGGACACAGGAGAGAACAAGAGATAAAGGGGCTGCGGTGACTCAAGTGGTTAAGACGCTGAGCTGCAGACTGGAAGGTCGGTAGTTCAGCAGTTCAAGACCCGAGTGCCGCATGACGGAGTGAGCTCCCGTCTCTGGTCCCAGCTCCTGCCAACCTAGCAGTTCGAAAGCAAGAAATTGCAAGTAGATAAATAGGTACTGCTTCAGTGGGAAGGTAACAGCATTCCGTGCGCCTTGGCGTCTAGTCATGCCGGCAGGGCCGCCTCGCTCACTAGGCAAACTAGGCATTCACCTAGAGCACACCGGCCCCTAGGGGTGCCAAACTGCACCTGCCCGCCCCCGTCAAAAGCCCTGCATATAGTCCCTGAACGTGTGACCTCCGCCGCCGCTGCCGCAGCACCACCATCAGGAGGGGGCGGGGGGCGAGGAAGGAAGCGCCCCACCCACTACTCTCGGTGCCTGTCCCGAGGGGCTCCTCCACGGCATTGGGGCTGCATCAGCGGAGGAGGAGAAGGTGGCGGTGGAGAGGCGGGCCCTGCACAGTTGCCTTCTCCCTGCGAGGGAGCTCCTGCGGCCAAGTCCAAGAGGAGACCGAGAGGACAGCACCAGGCCCGGAGCGGATGGGCCGCCTCAGTTCCTAAAGGCCACACGGCCAGGATCACTACATGCCAACTTACCTCTCCAAAGAAAAAAGATCCTGCAAAGCCTCCAGACGCAGCCACTTCTTCCTACCACCCCTCTCCTTCCACTCCCCAAACCCGTGTCCCAAAGCGCCATAGTCTGGCTCCCGGCTGCCCCCCGCCCCCGCAGGGCTCCTTCTCCCCTCCGTCCGGGCAAAAGACTAAACAGCCCTGCCGGGCAGCAGGGGTCTTCTTTCTGGAGAGATCAGGCATGATCGTCTGAAATCGGGGGGGGGCACCTTCCAGTTGCTACAGAACCCGTGGCCAGCCGGGATGCTTAAAAAAAAAGGAAAATGCCGGGGGGGGGAGGTGAAGAGGAGGAGGGTCCCATCAAAGGTTAGGTTAGGACGGAGGGCACCTGGAACACAGCCAGGGGAGGAACAGAGGTCAGAGTGACAAGGGGCAGAGCCTGCCAGCACTTACTTCAGTCAGAGATCCGCCCCGAAAGGGTGAGAAAAACCTTCCTTTTCACCACCCTGTGTGAGGGTGACAGGGTGCCAGTGCATTAAAGGATGATTCATCTGTATAACATGATCTTAAGTGTAAAGCAAAGTACATGTGTCCATGCAGGAACACATGTGTCTTTCTGGGCCTTGTGTTGTTTATCCTTGTTTGAAAATTGGTGAGCGCACGGGGGGGGGGGGGGGGAGGGGGAGCATGTATGGGGGGAGAACCCCCGGAGCAAATCGGGGAGGGGGGGGGGGGGGTGCAGTGCCAGAAGGTATCCTCGGCTAGTCTGCAAAAAACCCTGAGGCCGGCCCTGCATGCCGGCCACATGACCACAGAAATGTCTTTGGACAGCGCTGGCTCTTCGGCTTGGAAACGGAGATGAGCACCGCAACCCTAGAGTCAGATTCGACTGGCTTTCGAGCAAGGGAAACCTTTCCCTTTACCTAACACTATCAAGAACGCTGTCAACATGGGCCTATTATCTAAAATCAATCAGTGCCTCAAAGTTTGTTCAAAGAGGCAAGGAACCACAAGGAAATGAGTCATTAAGAACCTACGCAGTTTTAATGGAGTAGTGCTGAGTGAGAAATCTAAAACGAGTAGATCAAAATCAAGCCCACCTCCAGAATCTCATCTGTCTTCCTGAAAATCCTCAGTATTATTATTTTATATAATTTACATAATTGAACACTTGCTGTGCTATAATAGTACCTAAAATTCACTGCCTATAGCAACTTCACCCTGCCTAATGAGAGCGCCAACCCTACACACCTGATGAAGCTTCCAAGGAATAAGGGACTATCTTGCTACACAAACAGAGCCAGCAAGATCCAAATAACTGCTAGCCTTTACACTTCTGAAAGAAAAGAGGCACCTTATTGTTCTGTCTCTGTAGCATCTGGAGCAGGGGGGCCCCAACACGGTGCCCGTGGGCAGCATGGCACCCACTGACACCTTTCCTGTACCCATCAAGTGTTTGTAGAAAATGGGCAAAGCCAGGTGGAGCTTTTGCCCAGCAGGGCAAATGAAGATCTGATTGGTCATGCAGAGTTTTTAAAAGTTACTTCAACAACAGCTGCCACCGCAGCACAAAGATCTTCACTGTGTTGCTGTGAGTGTACACAAGAAAATGTTTTTTATATAACTATATTAATTTTAAAAGGCATCCTATTAAACAGAGCTTTTGCCTGAAATGTTAAAGAGTTACAATTAGAGGTATGCATCTCACTCCTTGCCATTTCGTAGCCGAAATTTCCTAACTGCAGCAGCCACTTTGTAGTTGTGCCCACCACCCTGTGTCAAAATCCCAAAGTTGCCCACAGGATTGAAACGGCTGGGGACCCCCTGATCAACAGCAACCTTAGAACCTTTTTCACCTAGCATAGTCTGACTTAATGCTGTATCACACACTGTCCATTCCAATCACTAACACGAACTGCAGTCTTCAGGCTGTTCTACCATATCCAGAAATATCCTCTTCTCTCCACTACCTTCTGGAGATTCTTTTTTTTTTTTAATGTCCAACATTTAGCCCAATGATGAACTCTGGGGAACTGAAAATCTTGCTCCCGACTTTGTGATGTTCTTAAATGATCCCAATACTGCTGAAAAGCACTGAGACTTACTAGTGATTTCAGCTCTCATACTTAATTTCAGCTCAGAACAAGATGAGAGTAACCAGCTCGCAGGCTGTCTGCAGATGAAGTACAAACATAGGTTAGCAAAAACATTAATGCTTAACTATGTCCAGGCTGAAGATGCCAGAAAACTATACTACACATTACAGAACATCTCTTAAGACAACAATTGTATAATACGTATCTTTACAGGCAAGTTTTAAATCAGTGTTCTGAAAGTAACTTCAGATACTATCTTAGATCTAAGCCAAACTTTCAGGTTCAAGTTTCAAAAGTATATCACTGAAGTGATTTGTATAAAGGATTTGCTGGAATTAAACTCAGTGAGGTATATTTCCAAACACACATAAATAAAACTGAGGTGCTGATATTGCTAATTTCTCACTCCCTTATTATTCCACCACATGGAAAAACAATCAGAACTCTTTGCTATTTTGTGCAGCCTGATCCTATGCATGTTTACTCAGAAACAAGATTCACTAACTTCAGCAAGGTTTACACCCTAGTAACTCGTCACTTCCTCTCTTTTAGTCTAGCAACCCTGGTTCCTACAGAGATTACTGAGCTGCAATCAGATTTAGGAGAAGCAGCATGTTTTTAAAATCTGCCAGCATAAATGTACAGACTGGGAGCCAACCCCATTGAACTCTGTAGGATCTGCTTCCGAATGAACAAACAGAGGATCACATTTCACATGCCAGTAAGAAGACCTCAGCTTCTGGACTTTGTTACCTGGGACTGATGACTCAAAGCCAGGCAAACAGTTCAGGATAAACTTTCCACTGTGAACTAGTGAATAATCCCAGCAGCTGTAGAGATTGCTGTGGTAAACTGGGCCAGGAGACCGGCAGCTGACAGGTGCTGGGTGTGGGGGCAGCCGAACAGAAAGGAAAGCTGCTGCCGCTGTTGATTGGATGAGGGAACTGTCCTTCATGCCTCACAGCTGGCAGTTGGAGAGTGATTCCAGTACTTTCTCCACCCAGAGGTGGAGCACCAAAGCTGTAGACAGTTAGCCAGAGGAGGGTGGGTGGGGCTTTGAGTACAGAACTAGAAGCCTTTTGCCACAGGCCCCAGCTGGGAAGACAGAGGGGACTAATGAATTAAAGAAAATCATGTGAGATTTTTTTAAAAAATCAACAGCCTAACTTTATGCATAAATTCAGCAGGGCTTACTCCTGAGTAAGTATGCATAGGGTGACAGCCCAGGGCCCTGGGAAACTTTGCATGCTAGAAGGGGCTACCATTTTTTTCCAGGTAGAGCTTCCAAAAAAGAAACAGGAGAGCAAGAATTTTCTCAAAACTAATAGACGCTGCTATGACCCTCTTGCCCAGCCTGTGTATTTTAGGGTCTGTAGTATGGCATAATGTTTATAGGGCAAGGTAGAACTGCTGGGGCTGTGCTTTCTACTGCTGTTGATAGACGAGGTTTATTAACATAGCTTCCTCCCTGACTGGAGCAGATGCAGCCTGGTAGTGTGTCTGCATCTTTGACCTGCAGTTACTTATTCCTGTCCGCTGCCATTGTGGTACTGTGTGGCCAGCTCAATGTAACAGCTAGGCATGATGGAGGTCTAATTCAGACAACTTGGGCCTGCAGTATATCCAGAAGCTTACCTCCAGGCTGTACTATAAAGAACTAGTCTGGGCTGCAGGAAAAATGCAACTGCTAAGTAGTGCAGGAAGGTCTGTTGTTCCATTTTCAGTATGCAGTTAAATAAGTATATAACTTTGAAATGAAAGAAATGCAAGGGGCCCCAATAGCATGCTGTGCCATGGTCCAAAAATCATAGTTAAACCAGAGCCAGAAACATAGAAATTAAAAGAGAACAGTTAGGTTTAAGCCCAGAACCTTTTAACCTACTTATAGTGGAAACAATTCTTGAATGAGACATTTTTAATTGTATCTGTTACCCCCATCTAAGCACCTTGGTATGCTCAGAGTCACAGGAGCTAAAGAGGACTTTTTTCCCTTCCAGAATTGCTTAATATAAATATAGAAGTGATTGTGAAAAATTCACTCTTCACCAGGAGAATCGGGCCTGGGCAAAAATGGCCTGGATGGGTGAAGTTTAGAACACGGTCACTTTTCAAGCGCGCTGACTGCAAGTGATTTTTTTTAACCCAAATTATTCTACAATTTAACCCAAATTGTTCTTTTAAAAAACTATTCTTTTGTAATGCGATATCACAAATTTATAAAGCCTGACATTTCCAGGGCGGGGGGAAGCTAGTGCTCCAAGTGGAGCAGCAAATCCTCTGATCCCACCAGGCTCCTGCCCTGCACAGGATTTGTGAAGTCTCATTGGCTTATTTTCAAGAAATTCAGTAGACTTGCAAGCTTATTTGAAAACAGGTTTATCTGAATCATAATGGAGCATACTACGAAATAAAATATTATAATAAGGAGGAAAAAGGGTTTAAGTGGGCTGATCTGACGTAAGAGGAAGTATCCTGTCTGACTGGTCTATGCCTTTTAAAAAAACTGCTCATAATAAGATAGGACGCACCTAAAAATTTTCCTGTAAATGGATCGCAGTATCTTTTAAAAATTAAAAATAACCGGGGTGGTCCTAATTATTGCATCCAGTGCTCCCTCTAAGCTGTGGAGTCTTGTGAGCAAAAATTCTACTTTGTGAGCAACTGGCATTAAAGTTGTGAGCAAAACATTTGGCTGCTGCATAAATTTGTTTGCTCTGGAGCCCTCCTTCCTGAGCTAAGACAAAAATGTGTGAGCTGGAGGCTAAAAAACTGAGCTAGCTCACACTAACTCAGCTTAGAGGGAACACCGATTAGGACCAATATAAAAGACTAATGCAATCACTGTTTTTATTTAGATTTTATAGCTTAAAAGGTCTCTTGGAGAAGCAACTGGGATCTCCAGTTTACTTAACAAAGGAGGAGTCATCACCACGGACACCTTTGGCTGCTCCTGCCACAGCCACACTTGATCCCATTGCCCGCACTCTACGTGGCCAAACATCACGCTTGCTCTAGCAGGCAAGATAGATGGATCTGCAGGAGGAGAACTGATGATTCAAGAATGAGAATTTTTATTGTGCACAGGCTTAACTGAGATTCTTTGAAACATTTATCTAAAGAATAAAATTCCCAAGACCCAATCTGAAAAGGTCAACTATTTAAAAGTATTTTAGTTGCCGAACACAGATTAGATTGTCAAGGTAGATTTGGGGGCATTGTTCAACATATATCATGTTACGAAGAGACTTATCAAACACCGTGCCTCTGAAGTATTTAATAAAGAGACGGGAAGCTTCTGCAAGCTGTGAAGCTGACAGAAGAACTGCTTCAGCAATATTGATCTTGAGTTGTTCAAGGCATCAATCAGATCACGGGTATGAGCTTGAATTTTGGCACTCTAATATTGCTTTTGAATTTTCTTGCGGGTGATGCACTAGAGTTATGGTTAGATCTTTTGGTGGCTGCAAAAATATCCTTTGTTAGGTAATGGAAAGTGTCCCATACATATGGAAAGGATGATTAAAGCTTTCGAAACTGTATTTATAGGTAAATTGTCAGGTCTCATTTGTCAAAGACATAAAGAAGTTTGCTCCCCCTCAAAAAAACCATATTGGAATATAAATTGTACTATGTAAGAGGAATTGAATGGCAAATAAAATGGACAATGAAAATAATAAAAAAGCAAGTTCTGTGGTTTAGGAGTGGTCACTGAGAAGACAGCTCCAGGCAATTAAAAAGTGTGCCATGTTACTGAAACTTCAGAGCAGATAATTTAAATAATCCATAAGAAAGAGTGCAAAGTGTTCCCATCATAGAGTTGCCTAATTCAGAACAGCAACTGATAGAATTTCTTTAAAGTTCACGAGCAGGGAAAAGCTCAGCAAGTTTAACAACTTCCTACAAGGATGATGTGGCAGGAGCTGATGCTGCTAAAAACCGTGTCTATTTTTTCTATACTATTTGTCTTCAACTGGTATGCTAACACCCTCTTGTATCCCATGCCAAAGTGGGTTCGGCTACAGAAATTATCATAACTTTTGTACGTTGTGCGCGTTTATGACGATACGACTGAGGAGTCTTCCAGGACGCTAGGAGTGCCAAGAATCCGAAGCGGGTATGCCCCTGTGTATTTTAGGGTCTGTAGTATGGCATAATGCTTATAGGGCAAGGTAGAGCTGCTGGGGAGCGCTTGCCTCAGACGCGGGAACATCAGGGGTTGCACCACCTCCTTTTCCCGTCCCGGGTCTGGCTATTGCCCTGTCGCCTGCTTCGTTTCTCTCTCTGCTCAGCAGTTCGACCATTCACGCAACCAGCCCAGCGCCTCCTCATCGGCTTGCCGCTCCCTCCTTTTTATTCCCCCTTCCACTCTTGGCACTCCCCCCGTCCTGGCCCCACCCCCGTCTAAAGGTGCCGACGCTGAAGCTCCCAACCCCGCCCTTCCGCCCTCCGGCTCCCCAGAGGCGCGGCAGGTTGGAGCCGGTAGGAAGCTCCTGGCGGCGGGTTCCCGTGCTCCTGCCAGTGCGCGAGGGCGGTTCCTCACTCGGCCCGTGCCCTCGCTGCCGCTGCGCTCGTCCGCCGCTCGTCGCGCCCGGCTTCCCTCGTCGCCCTGCGCCTGCCGCCCAGAGCGCGGCGTCTCGCCCTCCTCCCCGTCATTAGCGTCGGTAGGTCGCGGGGTGAAGGATGGGAGAGCGTTGGGGGCTTGTTGTCTTGTTTCCCCCGGGGCGGCCGGGAGGGTTCCGCGGACGTCCCGGTGGTCACCGGGACAAAAACTCAACCTGCAAGAAGTATTCAGACCCACCAGAAAAATATAACAGATGCTGCGATTGGCAAAAGACAGAAGAGACCCCCACACTTCTGCAGCAGTATACCGCATATCCTGCAGTTGTGGACAAGTTTACATCAGGACCACACAACGTAGCATCCAGACAAGAATAAAAGAACATGAAAGACACTGCAGACTTGGCCAACCTGAAAAATCAGAAGTGGCTGAACATAGCCTAACTCAAACAGGACACAGTATCTTATTCCAAGACACTGAAATGCTGGACAGCACATCCAATTATCATGTCAGATTACACAGGGAAGCCCCTAGCAACCATTTGAACTTGCTATGGCAGTTGTGTGAGCATGTGGCAGGAAAGGAACCACTGCCTCCACCCATGGCCTTGGCTACAGGCATGGCAGGGGAGAAGAGGCAAGCCCAGTCCTTCCAGGAGACCAAATTACTTCTCCATCACCACCCAAAGACAGAGAGAAGCAGCAGAACAAGAAGAGGGTGGGGGAGGAGGAGGACGAGAAGAAGAAAAAGAATAAGTCATTGTCACTCGGAATCTCAGAGCAGTTTACCATCTCCTTTCCTTCCTCTCCCCACAGCAGACAGCCTGTGAGGTAGGTGGGTCTGAGAGAGCTCTGCTCTTGAGAGAACAGATATATGTAGACATAGAAGATATATAGTCACACCGTGTAGCAATACCTGAAAGGGCATGAACAAGGCAAACCCTACATTTTGAGTTCCTCCGTTCAGATTGCTCTTCACACAGAACTGGAGAGGAAAAGCAGGAATTTATTAAGGGTTAAAAAGAGACAGGAGACTGGACACAGCAATATACAGAAAGGAGTTCGGTAGAACGTAAAGACACTGACTTATCCTCCGGTATATATAATTCTATTTTGGTCATGGACTCCCCTGAACATTCCATCACGCTCCAAAATCAGTTCGCTCTCTGATCTGTCATTCAGAGGGTCTCCCTATCCACTGGCTGCTTTGCCTGAGTCCTGTCTCCAACATTCTAAACAGTCCTCTCCCCCCCACAGCCAGTCAGAACACAGAGGTCATTTG